CATGAGAAGAGAAGACTCCCTGGAAAAGACCCTGATGTTGGGAAAGATGGAGGGCACAAGGAGAAGGGGACGACAGAGGATGAGATGGTTGGACAGTGTTCTCGAAGCTACCAGCATGAGTTTGACCAAACTGCGGGAGGCAGTGGAAGACAGGAGTGCCTGGCGTGCTCTGGTCCATGGGGTCACGAAGAGTTGGACACGACTAAACAACTAAACAACAACAACAAAGAATGGAATCTGAATGGTGGAAGGGCACCAGTGGCAGGAGGCCTTATTTGGGAATGCACGCCTCGGTTTAAGTACGGTTTTGGTTTAAGAACAGACTTCCGGAACGGATTAAGCTCGTAAACCGAGGGACCACTGTAATTGCATTGACACTGATTCTGTCCGCTGTGTTAACATCCATAAGGTCATCTTCTGGAGTCCACCATGTTAACTCGCCCTTTGTGCAAAGGGCTTCTTCCTGCCTCCAAAGCTGCAGTTGCTTCTTCTGGTGCTTGTGGAATACGACAACATGAGTGATGATTCTGAATTAAATGTAGCCCAGTGAGTTGTCAGTGACAGATACACATTGTGCACACTTCTCCTAGTCCAGATGTCACTGCTACAATTCAGCGTTGTTCTCCCTTTAGCATCTCGCCGCCTGTAATTACGGTTTAACTTTCTTTTTAACACTTTCAAAACTCCAAGGAACCACTTTATTACTGTCAGAGCCGTTTGAGAAAGGGAAAGGATGCTATAATTTGCTGGTGCGCACTCAAGTTGTTGCGCTGATATGTAACGTTTCTTAAGCCGATGGAAAACGGAAAGCAATTTAGATAAGTGTGGCAAGGAAGGGAAGGGGGGAGCATTTTGTTGTGTGTGAAATGATATATTGTCATATCATTTCCTCTAGAAATGCTTCAGTTTATTTTCTTTTGGGTTGTGATTGTCCCAAAGAGTAATCTACAACCACAAAAGCTCAACTTTGCCTTTATCTGCAGCTGTTCTGATTTCTCTTTCATTCTTTTCTCCCTCGTCTCAGCCTCTCATTCACAAATACTAACCTCTACATTTTCGAAGTGACACGCACAGTTTTAGCTTGGCGGCTCCCACCGACTTTAATGAATCTTGATGCTGAGGATCATGCAGTTGAGTGATGGTTGCAGCCTACGTGAATGGTATGCAGTCACAGATCATTACATTGTCTCTTGTCTCTTGCGCAAGCTCTGAGCAACTGCAATAGTCTCTAGACAAACTAGCTTAATTTGCAGTGGATTTAGTACAAAGTAACGCTGGGACTGAAAGGGAATGTGCTTCTCCCAATGTTGTGATGCAAGGAAGATCTCAAAGGTATATTTACTGGATTGTTATATGCGCCAATATAACACGGGTGGCCGATCAGAAGGTCAGCGGTTCGAATCCCCGCAATGGGGTGAGCTCCAGTTGCTCGGTCCCTGCTCCTGCCAACCTAGCAGTTCGAAAGCACGTCCAAGTGCAAGTAGATAAATAGGTACTGCTCCTGCGGGAAGGTAAACGGTGTTTCCGTGCGCTGCTCTGGTTCGCCAGAAGCGGCTTAGTCCTGCTGGCCACATGACCCGGAAGCTGTACGCCAGCTCCCTCAGCCAATAAAGCGAGATGAGCGCCACAACCCCAGAGTCGTCCGCGACTGGACCTAATGGTCAGGGGTCCTTTACCTTTACATGCCCATCAAAGCAACCATTCCATTGCTCAGAAGCAATGATGCACATTGTCTATTTGATCATTTGAGGGCAGAACTGTGGGCAAGGGTCGGCTGACAATTCAGTGGGTTGAATGAGAGACCAATTGTTGTTGACATCAGTGTGTCAACACCCCTGTGCCTCCATCGGTAAAGTCAAACTACCAAAGTGACCACCCTGGGACTCAAGCCTGGACAATGTGCATGGAGGTCCTGAGTTGCCCAGACAACAAGACCCACCTCTTGGATGCACTGATGTGGTTCAAAGGAAAGCAGAGCAAGCTTGGCTGCAGGAGTTGCCGGAAGGAGGCGTACAAGGCGCCATCCAACCTGTCTTGGGGAATCCACTCCAGATTTGTGTAGAGTTTTCTCCTTAGCCTTTTCTTCTCAGCAAAGGTTTAGGATCAGAGTTTTCCTTCTCCTAGATGGGCTACCTTCCCAGGCTGATGAGTCCCATCTGCTCCTCATTTTCCTGTACACTAATGCGCAAAGCATGGGAAATAAACAAGATGAGCTTGAGCTCTTGGTACAGCAAACTAAATTTGACATAATAGGCATCACTGAAACCTGGTGGGATAAGTCCCACGATTGGAATGTAATAATGGAGGGATACAATCTATTTCAGAGAAACAGACCAGACAAGAAAGGAGGAGGAGTGGTGTTATATGTCAGGGATGTGTATACCTGTGAAGAGATCCAAGATTTAGAACCTCAAAGCCAAAGTGAGAGCATTTGGGTCAAAATTAAGGGAGAGAAGAATAACAGTGACCTCATTGTGGGAGTTTACTATAGATCCCCAAGCCAAACGGAGGACATACATGATGCCTTCCTGGAACAGATGGCCAAGCATGCAAAAGGAAGGGAGATAGTAGGAACGGGGGACTTCAATTACCCAGATATTTGTTGGATGTCAAACTCAGCCAAGAGCATAAGGTCAAACAGATTCCTCACTGGCCTTGCAGACAACTTCATTGTCCAGAAAGTGGGAGAAGCAACAAGAGGAACAGCCATTTTAGATCTGGTCCTAACCAATGTTGATGACCTGGTTAGTGGGGTAGAAGTGGAAGGATCATTAGGCGCGAGTGATCATGCTCTTCTGAAGTTTACTATACAGCGGAAAGGAGCAGCCAAGCATACTAGGACTCAATTTCTTGACTTTAAGAAAGCCGACTTCATAAAACTTAGGGAAGTGCTGGGTGAGATCCCATGGACAGTAATACTAAAAGGAAAGGGAGTTCATGATGGCTGGGAGTTTGTTAAGAGGGAGATAGTAAAAGCACAACTTCAGGCAAAACCAATGAGACGGAAACATGGAAGGTGCCTAAAGAAGCCAGGGTGGCTATCTAAAGAACTTTTAACTGAGTTAAGATTAAAAAGGATGTGTACAAAAAATGGAAAAGGGGGGAAACCACCAAAGAGGAATTCAAACAAATAGCCAGCACATGTAGACACAAAGTCAGAAAAGCTAAAGCACAGAATGAACTCAGGCTTGCTAGAGAGGTTAAAAGCAACAAAGAAGGCTTTTATGGGTATGTCCGTAGCAAAAGGAAGAACAAAGAAACAGTGGGGTCACTCAGAGGAGAAGATGGTGAAATGCAAACAGGGGACACAGAAAGGGCTGAACTCCTCAATGCCTTCTTTGCCTCAGTCTTCTCCGATAAAGAAAACAATGCCTGACCTGAAGAATTTGGAGCAAATGATTCAGCAGAGGAAACACAGCCCAGAATAACTAAGGAGATAGTACAAGAATACTTGGCTAGTTTAGATGTATTCAAGTCTCCAGGGCCAGATGAACTGCATCCAAGAGTATTAAAAGAACTGGCAGATGTGATCTCAGAACCACTGGCAGTCATCTTTGAGAATTCCTGAAGAACAGGCGAAGTCCCGGCAGACTGGAGGAGGGCAAATGTTGTCCCTATTTTCAAAAGGGGAAAAGAGAGGACCCAAATAATTACCGCCCAGTCAGTCTGACATCAATCCCAGGGAAGATTCTGGAGCAGATCATTAAGCAAACAGTCTGTGAGCACCTAGAAAGGAATGCTGTGATCACCAATAGTCAGCATGGATTTCTGAAAAATAAGTCATGTCAGACTAACCTGATCTCGTTTTTTGACAGAATTACAAGCCTGGTAGATGAAGGGAACACAGTGGATGTAGCCTACCTTGATTTCAGCATGGCATTCGACAAGGTGCCCCATGATATTCTTGTAAAGAAGCTGGTAAAATGCGGTCTTGACTATGCTACCACTCAGTGGATTTGTAACTGGCTGACTGACCAAACCCAAAGGGTGCTCATCAATGGTTCCTCTTCATCCTGGAGAAGAGTGACTAGTGGGGTGCCACAGGGTTCTGTCTTGGGCCCGGTCTTATTCAACATCTTTATCAACGACTTGGATGATGGACTCAAGGGCATCCTGATCAAATTTGCAGATGACACCAAACTGGGGGGTGGCTAACACCCCAGAGGACAGGATCACACTTCAAAACGACCTTGACAGATTAGAGAACTGGGCCAAAACAAACAAGATGAACTTTAACAGGGAGAAATGTAAAGGATTGCACTTGGGCAAAAAAATGAGAGGCACAAATACAAGATGGGTGACACCTGGCTTGAGAGCAGTACATGTGAAAAGGATCTAGGAGTCTTGGTTGACCACAAACTTGACATGAGCCAACAGTGTGACGCGGCAGCTAAAAAGCCAATGCAATTCTGGGCTGCATCAATAGGAGTATAGCATCTAGATCAAGGGAAGTAATAGTGCCACTGTATTCTGCTCTGGTCAGACCTCACCTGGAGTACTGTGTCCAGTTCTGGGCACCACAGTTCAAGAAGGACACTGACAAACTGGAACGTGTCCAGAGGAGGGCAACCAAAATGGTCAAAGGCCTGGAAACGATGCCTTATGAGGAACGGCTAAGGGAGCTGGGCATGTTTAGCCTGGAGAAGAGGAGGTTAAGGGGTGATATGATAGCCATGTTCAAATATATAAAAGGATGTCACATAGAGGAGGGAGAAAGGTTGTTTTCTGCTGCTCCAGAGAAGCGGACACGGAGCAATGGATCCAAACTACAAGAAAGAAGATTCCACCTAAACATTAGGAAGAACTTCCTGACAGTAAGAGCTGAATTTGCTGCCAAGGAGTGTGGTGGAGTCTCCTTCTTTGGAGGTCTTTAAGCAGAGGCTTGACAACCATATGTCAGGAGTGCTCTGATGGTGTTTCCTGCTTGGCAGGGGGTTGTACGCGATGGCCCTTGTGGTCTATTCCAACTCTATGATTCTATGATTCCTCTACAACATGTGCAGTGATTGCCTTCTTGACTGTTGAGCCCACTATCGGTCTTGTCCGCTCAATCCGCCTTTATGACTGTTGAAGCCTGTTTTTACCTGTAGGGGAAGACCCTAACTCGCTGAGGGTTTGAGACTCATCGACTACCCTCACCTGGTTTAGCCGGCCAGTCAAAGCTGTTTCCCAGGGTGTGGCTGCTTTTGCACACTGGCAGCTTCTAGAGGCCACAGGTGAGAGCTGAGTGCCAGGTGGGGATCAAAGGTAGACAAACCACCCCAGAATGAGCATGGTGTATCCCCCACCAGAGGTACTACCCCTTCCCTAACACCCCATACACCCTGAGAGACCAATGCACCACTGCATACATGGCCACATTAGGGATGCAGTCATTATAGGATGGTGGTTGAATGTGGAGTAAAATGCTGGTGCTGGCTGTTGTGCCGTGTGTTTTCATGTTGGGTAAGATGAACATGAGCAGTAGAATGTATAAGGAACCTTCTGCGTTCCTTCCCCAGGATCATGGTTTAGCAACTTTGTAATGGCCATCACAGGGATAAGAACATGGGTAAGCAACCTAAGGCCTGGGGGCCGGATCCTGCTCAATCATCTTCTAAATCCGGCCATTGGACGGTCCAGGAATCAACGTGTTTTTACATGAGTAGAATGTGTCCTTTTATTTAAAATGCATCTCTGGGTTATTTGTGGGGCATGGGAATTTGTTCATTATTATTTTTTTCAAAATATCGTCTGGCCCCCCACAAGGTCTGAGGGACAGTGGACCGGCCCCCTGCTGAAAAAGTATGCTGACCCCTGGGTAATAAGGACCTGGTGTGGTGTGCAGTACTGCCTTTTAAAAATCTGTCTTGCGTAGGGCAGGCCATCTGCTCTGCCTGTTGGCCTGTTTTCTTTTCTCTACACTTCCAACTGGCCAGTACAATCCCTCTTGTTACCAGTATAGCTTGCCAGCTTTTGGGCAAAGCTTGTGCAGTTTCAGGGCCATCCATTATATATATTTTTTTTAAAAAAATGATGAGGTCCCAAGGGAAAGTATATTCAAGCTTGGGCAGATTTGAGGGTAAACCATACACAGCACGGGTCTGCCCTTGTGGCTTGTTGGAAGTTGAAACTGCTTCACATGTACTATTACGTTGTCGTCTTTATGAGGATATACGTTTGACTTTTATTACACCTGTTTTGCAAAAGTCCAGGAAGGAATCGGAACACCATAGTTTAAAATTACTGCTAGAGGACAAGAATCCCAAGACTACATTAAATGTAGCCAAATTCTGTGCGTCTGCAATTAATCGCAGGAAGCAAGTGGTATCCCATAATGACCAAACCCCCAAATGTTAATTACAGGGGGCACGCTAATAATTAACTTTAATTTTTTATATTTAAATCCTTGTTATATTCATATTGTCCTCTGTATTTCTGATTTTTTTTTTTAATGATCTGTGATATTGTGTGTGTTGACGCTGGTCTGTGACCGTATTAATAAATTCATTCATTCATATATTCAAGCTTTATGGGTCCAATAGTGGTTTCTTTGCAGGCAGACAACAAATGTCAAAGGCTTTGTCTGCCTGCCTCTCCTGTCACTTTGGAGAAAGAATGGACTGGAGCTGGTACACTAGCACAAAACTTTTTGGAAGGAGAGCAAGGCTGGCATGCAAAGACCTCAGGAGACTTTGGCCACTGAAAACAAAATGGTCCTATCCTCTTTCTTTTTGTTTCAGGTAGCCAGCTGGAACCTCCCCCTCTTGTTCAGGTATGGAAAACAGAGGTTGGCAAGGAACAAGGCTCTTTTATTTTTACAGGCATTTTATAGGAACAGCAAAGCTTATTGCAAGGGATGCAGTCAAAATGGGAGGATGGACTTTTGAAAGAAAGAAAGAAAAGTGCTACTGTATATTCAGTTCCCAAATACTGTATCTACCAGATTGTCATCATGTTTCACCCATAAAAAGCTACCCCTGACCGTTATGTCCAGATGACTCTGGGGTTGCGGCGCTCATCTTGCTCTATAGGCCAAGGGAGCCGGTGTTTGTCCACAGACAGCTTCTGGGTCATGTGGCCAGCGTGACTAAGCTGCTTCTGGCGAACCAGATCACAGAAACACCATTTACCTTACCGCCAGAGTGGTACCTATTTATCTACTTGCACTTGAAGTGCTTTCAAATTGCTAGGTAGGCAGGAGCTGGATCCGAGCAACGGGAGCTCACCCCATCACGGGGATTCAAACCGCCGACCTTCTGATCAGCAAGCCCTAGGCTCTGTGGTTTAGACCACAGTGCCACCCCCGTCCCATAGAAGTGGTATAGGGAGGGAAAAATTATGGTTTCTTCCGCTGTTCATGCAGACTAGGCTTTTAAAAATAGGAACAATCTTTTCCTGTATGCTTGTCCACACTTTCCCCTATTTTTTTGTATTTTGGTAAACATTTTCTTGCTTGGGGAACTGCATTGCAAAATTTGGGGGTGGGCAAAATTCAAATGATAGCCGCACTTCAGTTTCAACCCCATCACGGGGATTTGAACCGCCAACCTTCCAATTGGCAAACCCTAGGTTCAGTGGTTTAGACCACAGTGCCACCCGTGTTTCACCCATACCTATGACCAAACCATAGAGAGAATATGCTCACTGCAGGATAGTTTCTGTATATTCCTGTTGAGTGATAAGAGGAATTCTACCACACATTAATTGGTGATGTGCCATAATATTTGCAGAACACATGTTATCTGCAGCCTAAAATGGTACAGGCCCAGACATCAGTTTACTACTAATATAATATCAATGTTTACTACTACTACTACTACTGCATTATCATTTAACTCCTTTTATGGAAGCTGATGTAGGCACTGGATAGAACAGTGGGATGGTGGTGATGCTACCTTAAAGCGGACATTGTCAGAGAATCTACATGTTTTGGATCTCTTGGTATCTTTTTCCCTTTTCTTCCAAGCAGTCAAGGGGAGCTGCAAATTTAATAATGAAAGCTCTGCTGCTTCAATGGGAGCAGTCCCACTTTGACCTTGTAGAGCTGCTAAGGAATAAATGGTGTGCAGGTTGCAGCCAACATATCCAAGCCATGTTTGAATATGGATCATTGTGCAGTTACTGTGAAACTACTGATGAGCTCTGATCCTTGATGCTTGACCAGCACAATCCTGATTCACTACTTTGGATCTTTGTACCACTAGAGCAGTTCAGTGACAGAGTGGTTAGGAAAGGATATCATTTATGGACAGGCTTTCAAAGGCACCTTCAGAAATCTTACCCACCAAATGGAATTTTAATCAGGCTTTTTCTGCAAGGGCTCTGTTATGAATGTGCACAAAAGCCCACTCATTATTTTGGGAGAGAGGTGATCATCAAAACAACTTTTTATATGAATGATTCCCAACATACGTGCTGGACAACACTAGTGTGTCTTGAAGGGAACTGGTACGCCTTAAAGAATTAAGCAAGGGGTCAGCAAACTTTTTCAGCAGGGGGCCGGTCCACTGTCCCTCAGACCTTGTGGGGGGCCGGACTATATATTTTTTGGGGGGATGAACAAATTCCTATGCCCCACAAATAACCCAGAGATGCATTTTAAATTAAAGCACACATTCTACTCATGTAAAAACACACTGATTCCTCGGCCGCCGCAGGCAGGATTTAAAAGGTGATTGGGCCGGATCCGGCCCCCCAGGCCTTAGTTTGCCTACCCATGAATTAAACCATGAGGTTGGATGCATCCATTGTCCCATGCCTCTTAGAACCTATGCAGAAATCACCCTGAACCTTAAACTGATTGGAACAAAGAGGAAGGCAGGATGCTAGGAATCGATATTAACTGGTCTAGCCTACAATCGCAAGGAGGATGCCTAAGAGCTGACAGAAAAAAATAAGCATGTATATTTTTGCACATAAAAGGGTTCTGAATGCTGGTGGAGACAATATGTACTGAGTGTAAGTGTGCCTCTAGTTTTATTCCAGGGCGGGGAAAGACCTCTGCCTCAAGTATCAATAATTCCTGCTTCCACAAGAATTGGTGGCCACTGCTTCTCACACCCGGGACGTGTGGGAGGAGCCAGTGCCACCAGCACCACTCCCCCAGAAATGGCAGCATCCCTTGAATGGGGAGAAGTTGCCTTGGCCTTTTCCCATTGTCTGAGTGTCATGGGAAAATGCTGAACTGGACCAGCTCTCACACCACAAGTGTACAATGATGAAGAGCCCTCTAGTGTTCAGACTACAAGACCATTGGAATATATACTGCATTGTGGCAGGCAAGCCACAGACACGAAGTTAGCTGGAATTATCCCATGGAAAGCTCACAACTTGAACATTCTCAGCATGCAGAGAGCAGAGGTGTCTGTCAGGAGCTCATCCTACACTTGAGTAGGACCCTGGCAGAGACACATGCCCGACTGGCATATTCTCTCCCTCCTGGTCGATCGTTCAGGAGTTTCAATAGCTTTCTTCTGCCCAAACATCACAGCGATTGATGCCAACAGACACCGGCACACTTAGGGATCTGCAGAGTTTGCACAACTTGCATAACAGACCTCAGCAACTCAGCATTTTGGCTAATCTACTTTATTTACATATAAACACACACGGAGCACTGCAACATGGCTCTCTCTCTCTCTAGCATCAGACAGCAAAGAGGAAAAGAACAAAGGACAATAGTCCCACTTCACAGAACACAGTAACACAAACATCCTGTCTCCATCACTTCCCACTCTGTGGAGTCAAAACATATACCGTCATGTGATAGACAACAATCCCATGGCTGCAATCATGGAGAGCGTGTTCTCCTTCATGGAGAGCACGTGTTGCGGTGGGGTCTGCTGAGCCACCCCTCTGTTACCAGGCAGGGTCTCTAAAGATGGCCTGGGGCAGTGATTGGTTCACTGGGTTGCTGGGGTAAAAGTTATGTTGCAATTTTGGTGGGAGGGGTAAAATGTTTAAATACTCTGCACGCAGCCTGGAGCTTTCTCTTGCTGTGCGCAACGGATCACCCGCCCACCCGCCCTTGAGTAAGGGGTTGTTGCATTGACCTTGCTATGCCTGTCATGGGGTCGTCTGCTCTTGGGGCAGGGGCCTGGTAGGAATTTTGTCCATCTGGCTGATTGGCTGGGCCATTTGGTTTTTGCCTACTGCGTAGCAAATCGTCACAACTTGTAAGGTTGTGGTTAGGCATTGGTTATAAATTGGTGGAGGAGGGGTTAGGATAGGCTGGGCCTGCCCCTCCATGGTTGCTGCGGAAAGGGAATTCCGTTAAAGGAATCCTGGGGCTTGCCATCTTTCGTCCAATCCCTGGAATGGGACTAGGGCCGGCAAGCCTTCGGGGAGCATGCGGATGAAATTGAGGGTCTGTGACCCAGCTCCATTTCTCTCCGACTTGCTTTCCCCGCACTGTCTCTTCGGTGGTGCCCGGAAGTCAGTTCCTGTCCCCAGGCGGGGGACAGATAGTCTTAACCAATGCCTAAACAACCACTCACGGTTTTGTATTTAAATAAAGTTGTGGCCAAAATTATGCCAAAAACCTTAAACAAAAATTAAGTGTGCGTTGTGAGTTATTTGGGGGGTGGCTTGGGGACCTCGACACGCAACAGGAATTCTAACAGTGTCAACATATTTGTAGTTGTGTATGTGTGTGTGTTGGGAAGGAATATTTCCTGTTTGGCTTGGATTAAAACTTCAAACAGACCCTGTCTGGGTCCATTTACAGGGAAAATCTCACTCCCATATTACAACACCTTCACTGGCTACCAGTCAGAGGTGCCAAGTTGCCCCCAAGATTGAGAGGGGTGGCGTTGTGCAGTACATCACAACGTCTGGAGGAGGCTGAGCGCCCTGAAGGAGCCAGCCACTGAATTTGCATCACACTCAGCTCTGCACTCAGCTTCCTTTGCCCCCTCAACATTGAGGCAGTTCAGCCCCCTTCCAATAAATATTATGGGGACCAATTATACCTCACCCCCCCTAGAGTTGGAGCACCTGCTACCAGTCCGTTTCTGGATTCAAAGTGTTGGTTATGACGCAGAAAGCTCTAATGGCCTGTGACCAGGCTATGGGAAAGATCATGTTCTCCCATAGAAGACTACATGGGTTTTAAAATCCTTTCTTTTCTGCCAACATCTGAAGGCAGCCCTCTTTAGGGAAGCTTTTAATGTTTGATGTTTTATCGTGTTTTTAATATTCTGTTGGGAGCCGCCCAGAGTGGCTGGGGAAACCCAGCCAGATGGGCGGGGTAGAAAGAATAAATTGTTGTTGTTTTATTATTTGGTTGGAATTCCAAAAGAAGGCATTTCTCCATTTTTATTTACACAGACCTTTGGTCCATAAAATGATTTGTAAATATAGCATCATATGGCTTTAAGTGATTGTTTTTAATGCTGTTTTACCTGTGAGGTTGGTATGTTTTTAACGTCTTTATTTAATTGTATTTTTACCGCTGCCACCTTGAGCACCATTTGCTGGTGGGGTATACAAAATATTCAGATAAATAATCGTTAAAAACAACTTGTGGCTGTTGGATGGAAGTCTTGGGGAAGCTGTGTATTTTTTGAGGCAGGTCTAGCAGCTAGCTAGCTAACCTTTTTAATCTCATGGACTCCTTTTGCACATAATGCATCAAGGTAACTGCAAGTATCATGAAATGGTCAACCCAAACAAGCCCAGAAACAGGGAGGGGAGCTTGCTACTTTGCACTCATTGGCTTGAATTAAATGGCCAATTCTTTGACTACGGGCTTCTGGCCACACTGGGAATGAGTACTGAGATGCAAGCTGCCTCTTCAGATTAACAACCTGAAATCTACACTCATAAGGAGAGGGGTTCTTTTATCTCCAGTCATATCAGCATCCCCTACAAGTTCATTTTTAAAT